GAAATATAAGAGGTTTAAAACATGCAGTCGACATGACAAGCAGCTGTACTCTGGCCAACAAATGCAAGGTTATTATTGTAATGTTTGCATTTTTTGATCCACTTTCTGTCGGTGTAAGAAGGCGAGGAAACAGCCTGACTAACGGCGCCGCTACTGTTTGTCTAAATGGATCTTCACAGGTCCAGTAAGCCTTCTGGCTCTTTTCCTCCATCACGCCCAGTAATGTAATGTTCTTGTCATGGATCTCGTCCCCACAGCTGTTCCTCCTCCTCCTCGTCATGTTAAGCCATTAAAAAGCACATAGCAATTGTAAATGATTAGATTGAGTCATGAATATTTATTTTTCAATGGCTGATGCAAGTCAGATCCTGACTGCCGGCTGTATGAGAAAACTATGCGTTATCAATTATTTCATTCGCAGGAAGGAAAATGTTTTTTTAGTGTCAATCATTTTATTCATGCTCAACATTTTACTGTTTATGGTTGTATACACCATATACACAGTGCAAGCATATCATAAAGACATTGACTTACAAAAAAGGATGTAAAGTAACAACCGCCAAGTCAAATGCATGTCTGACATATTTTGGTAATAATATGTTCCTTATTCCTGATTCGTTAGTAACTCCAATACTTGGATTGGACAGGTTATTATCAGCTTATTAACTTTCATACAACCTCATTTTATTACGTTCTGGTCAAAACTGTAGACAAACGTTTGGAAAAAACGCAATGACCGGGATGTGCATTGAAATGTACTTAATTCTCTCAGACATGCATTCAATAATCAATAGATTATTTCCAACCTCTGCAGGGAATTTGGGCGTCAAACCTGTCACACATGCTTCCTCATCAGCACAACGCACAGCAGCATGTGCCTGCAGATGAAGGGTCCCACGCAGCCAAATTATTTCTTAATGCTATGAAAGATTCCCATGGCGTGTTTCAGCCACTTTATTGCTGTCCGACTGTAAACCCAAAGGCAATAAATATCCTAAGCAGAGTGAGGAATCTACTGCACCTGTAGTTACCACTACGCCGGCATAACAAGTAACAGATGGAGTGGAGTGAAGCATCGGGCCTGAAAGGCATGCAACAATGAAATGGAATTATTATTATTAATGGTACACTTTCATCACCTGAGCGGACTTGCTTCAACTACGATACTTATGGTCTCACATTATTTTTGATCAGCAGGTCCCACGGCTGAAATGAAAAACAATGTGGATTTAGTGTCACAGTGGCTTGGCTGTCGTTACCAGACAGGAAATAGCTGTCGTGGATGGTTATCCCTGATGCACGGGGCTGATGGGAGAACACAATGGTGAACTGGACCAATTTCTACCCCTCAATGTGTGAAAAAACCCATTTAGCTAATTTACTGGGCAAATACAAACCCTACGGCAGTGAAGTCTGTTGCATTTCAATTTGACCCAGGCAGTAACACGCTTTCATGTGTTTTGAATCAGTACCAGTTGAATTACTAAATAATACCTGTTCACCCTTCAAAGCGTCTTATATGACCTCATATTCAAGGGGGGGCTGAGATATTTATTGCTTTCTTTGGCTAAAATGTTCTTAGTTTTCCAGAAGAAAGGCATAGTTATGTCTACTATATCAAGTGTTATGACCAGCAGATAAACTCTGAAGCTTGTGGGACGCTGTAATTTTATCCTGCAGGGAAGCTGAGCTTACTGAGCCTGACGGAAGCCAGAATGAATGCTTCTCATTTATTTATTGATGCACAGAATGTGAAGTCTTTTATGTAAATTAACAAGTGTTTGTTCCTTCTATAAAGTTCGTCTTATCATAACCAGTAGTAGAAGTGTTCATAATTGTTGTTTATTAAATACTAATCATTTGTGCACTTACTTAACTGTGTGCACGTGGGTCTCCTCATGTGTGCATGGCAGCGTTGTTTTGGCAGGGGGAAGGTTAATGTTTGACTGCATGAATGGTTCACCCACTAACGTGTTAACAAAGCACAATGGCTGCACTGTAAAGGCTCCTATTTATTCAGAGTCACTTCCTCCCTTAATAGTCGGCTTCACTTTCCTCACGGAGGGAAAAAGTAGGTCAAGGAAAAGTCATGTTTGAGGTAATTCACTCTCGGGGGCCGCTGCTCTGATCATTAGATGACATTGGTTAACCCCGAAAGTGAGGTCACATTCGCGTCTAAGTTACACCCAGGTTTCCCACTGGTGTGGCGTGTCTTTGCATTTTACAGTGCGCGGGTGGTAAATGGGAGAGGGAGGATGCCAATAGGAAGTTTGAAAAAGAGAGAGGCATGAAAAGACCATTGTTTATGACACAGATAAAGAAAAGCTGAAGGAGAAGAGACGGGAAAGAGGCCGGTTTGTGGCCTCGGCTTGCAGTCGATGAGCTCTGAAGGAGGACACTCTTATGGAGGTTCCGCTTTGATGGAAGTGAACAAAAGATCCACAGTGAAGAATCACATGGATAGTTCATTCTTGGGCATCATGCACAAAGACCTTAACCAGAGAGGAATGCAAACACGTCCCCCCCCCCCCCAAACCTACTGCAATTACTTGTGACGAGTGCGTTGAGGATTAAGCGGGATGTTTGCAGACTTTTTGGATTAAGCGTGACTTGATCTCTGGAAGACCTTCTTATCAGGACCTTTTTCTTTCATGTCCAGACATTCCTCTACCCCCTTTCCCTGCAATTGCAACCTCAGATTTCTATTCCACATTCCATTCACGATTCACCCCCAATGAACAATCTTCCATTTATTTCAGTACAGTAGGAAATCATAAATATTGACTGCATGGGCAAACAAATTAGGTAGATTAATTTTGATTAAAATCATCATGTTGTTATTAAGCCTGTTAAGAGGGTGTAGTCCGGAACAAATAAGTATAGCTTTTTAGGACATTTTTTAATCCAGTGCTTCATGTCCGTTTTATACCCTCAAGGAGTGCAGAATCTTTGCTAAAAAGTTTGAGGAAAGCAGCCTGTTCATTTGCAGCTCGTGTCCGGGCATCGCTCCTCTTTGCATCTGGCAAACTGCCTTTCAATCTGTTCTCACCTGGCTCGCCACCAAAACAAAATGAAAACATCAGAGGGATTCCTGTAATGTGAGGAGATTGTTTTGTTTAGTGTCGATGTCATTTTATCTATTTAGACTGTGTGACAGACAGAACGAGAGGGATGCCAGCAGAGTAAGTGCACATGCCATCGTGATTAAAATGATGCTTTTTACTCCGTAGGCCAGCGGTTGGACGCCTCTCTATCAACGATAAGAACAGGGTACAAAAAGAAAAGGCAGTCCATACATTCTGGCATAGATAGATGTTATGTTATGTCACACACTAATGGGATATTTTGGGAATGGGACTTTTAAGGACAATGCTGCGTGCGATTTAACGCTGTTCTCATTCTGAATTCAAGAATACATTATTTTCAAAAGAAGTGTGAGTGTTAAATCTGCCGCCGCGTTGAGTTGTTTCTGACTCTAAACAGAAATTTGTCTCCGGAGAGACCAATTTGTTGTCCTTGGAACCGAGTGTTGTGGTTATTTGACATTATACAGGGCGAGGACATGGAACACACTTAACCTGCCTGTGGTTTGAGAAAGAAAACCTTTGAATGAATCAGCCTCGACTTAAATCAAATATGTGAAAAAAATAAATATTAATTAAACTCAAAACTTCTCCCCAATATAATCTGGTCTAACAAGTAGTGCTGGGGAAATGTTTACTCATGCATTTAATAAACTAAAAGACTTCCAGCAGCTCGTGTATTAAAGCCTCAGAGGTTCCTTCAACAGCGAGACGCATTGGATCGCTTTTTGCATACTGATTGTAGTGTTATGTCTACAATAAGTTTCAAGTCGTGGTGTCTTTGGCATAGTTTATAATCTTAGTTCAACATTAGCATAACACTGGATCTATGACAAGTAAAGACCGCCGACGGTACACGCCCCCTCTTATATCACATACAACGTGGGTAAAATAGTGCCATTAAATTACACTGATTGATCATCAAAAACAAAAGATTGATACAAAAATGAATACTGCTTATACAATCCTGGGGATGGGTTGCTGGGTTTTTCATTTTTTGGGGAGTTTTTCCTGTGCCGATGTGAACAGAGGATGTCGCATGTGTACAGACTGTAAAGAGGCAAATTTGTAATTTTCGATTTTGAGCTATAAAAAAAAATGAATTTTATTTTATCGGCGTAATCTCTGAAACAGAAACACAGCATCCCCAACTCCACCCACAGTGCTTCCACCTTCCAACTGGATGATTGTCTGAAACACTGAACGCACAAGCAAAGAACATGGTGAATTGTTGTAATTGTAGTTGTTTGGGGGCTCATGTGGAAGCGTCCTGGCAGTTTCTCTGCTTCAGGTGATGAATCCCGATGGGACCCCGGGGAGGGGGGGGGGGGCTCAGACACCAGCTTGGATGCAGTAATTTAATCCTGCAGGCACACCCCAAAAAACACTACCATCCTTAGTTACAGGTGATCATATCAGCTATGAATATTGTATTCCGCAGCTACAAATCCAGACTGCTCTCAATGAGGTCTCCCTGAGACCTCCTCAAGAACGTCTATGATTAGAATGCAAACAGAAACATATATAATGACAAATATATTTCATGTCTCTTAAATGAGTACTTTCTGTGAAAGCCTTATCAAATTGTATCAAATCAATTGTTTAATAATTTGCTGTTATGAAAAAGAAAACCATGTTTATGCAGCAGCCAGATGAGTCAGACTGTCAGAGGATGAACAGAGGATTATGGGAGCGTCAACCAGCTGTATTTTCGCCCCACCTTTCGTATTGGAAACCTGCTCAACATTTCACATTTAATCATATCTCTCAGCAAGGTGCTTGGCATGTGTATTGAGCAAATCAGAAGATGAATGCCAAACCAAGCCCTGCTCAACAGAACAATGCGCTTCTAATCACAATCAATGAAACCACTGCAGTGAATGCAAAGAACAAAACACAATCTGATTTTTGTTTTAGGAGTGCAAGATTCCCATCAGGAGAAGATCATTACAGTGTCCGGAGAGGGAATGCTCCAGAGCCCAGGCTTCCCACTAACTTACCCCAGGAATACTGCGTTGGTCTGGAGACTAGTGGCGACCAACAATATGAGGATCCAGCTCACCTTCGATGAGCGGTTTGGTCTGGAGGACCCAGAAGATGGCACATGCAAGTAAGAATATGTCTCACTATCGCCATGGTAACATATTGATTAATAGCAACAGTGATCCTCAAGTTCCTGTCTTAAAACCTAGTGACCTACAGATACGTGATACATGTACTATGCGCCGGTTTTCTTTAAAAGCTTCCTCTGCCTGGCCAGCTTAGGGTCAGGGTTTGTGTTGACCCTAACCCTACTCGTCACTGGTTGGATTGCCAGATACCTGCCGAGGTTAAGATGCGTCCTCCCTGCATTGTTGATCATATTTAAAGGTTCAAAGCGTGGATCCATTTGGGAAATTGCCTTTGGGTTTTCTGTAGCATCTCATGAAAGCTCTTCGATTTAAAAACCAAGCAGCAGAGTGATTTGTGTCAACGGGGAACACGGTTCAGACCGTCATATTTTACCCGCTGAGTCGATACTTTTAGCGTCACACTGTCTGAATTGCAACACAACAATAGACACATCTGCATGCAATGCTTTATTGAGGGGCCCTTTTTCAACTACTGGGTTCACCTATCAATTCAAACAGGGATTCCCGACCCCAACGATCGATTTACCCTCAGTGAATTATGTGCAGTTTCCTGCTGTCAATATATCACAACCGACCGGTTAGCATGGAGGAGCCCGATCACTGGGGGAGGGTTACCTCGCCCTCATTCCTGGAGAGCCCCCTAATGGGTGACAGGGTGAATGGCATGTGCAGAAATCCATCCATATCAGGAAATTAAAAGAGGATTTGAATAAGTACGCATCCACTTTCATTGATCAAGATGTTGGTCCGGAGTCTAAAAAGATGGATTTGAATTCAATGCTCCAAGCTGCTGCCATTCAATTCATGCCGCTGTTTGACAACATACTTCCTGTGACCCCCCCCTTCCCCCCCGACAAAAAAGCTGAGCCCCTCGCTCACTACCGTGCATGTTGACGAATGAGGATAGTGTGTCTGTTGAAAGTTCGAGCGCGGGGCAGGGTGCGGATTGACAACCTTTGTGTCATCCTGCCCGAACAAGAGCGCGCTAGTCAGCGTCCTCGGGGGGAGAGGGGCGAGAGACAATGACTGCATCCTCCTCCAGGGTCATGCGAGTCATCGCCACGTCTGCCGCTCCCACTTTCACATTTTTCACTCCTTCCCAAGGCTGACGGAGGCCCCGAAAGGTTTTGATTCGGATCCCAAAACACACTCCCGGCAGGGTTGGCGGACAGATGAATGCAAGCGTGCAATCACAAGCAGGAGCAGACACACATCCAGTGTATGTGTTATCTCTCAGCCTGCTTCGCCCTCAAACACGCATACTATCTGTCCCAGATACACAAACTCACATGAACAAGCCTCCGGGGCAAGTCTTCATATCTAGTTTATCTCTCTCGCGTGTTTAAAAGTGTATTCACAAAATGCCCCCTTTGAACTTCGCTCCCGCGTTGAGGCAGTGTTTTCGATACACTGCTCTCGCCCTTCTATCGCCACGCAATGTGATGCAAATAAACCGGCCCAGTAATCTCCTGTCCAGTGACTCACTTCCGTGGCGGGGATGAAACAAACAGCGGCAGGAGATGCGCTCGGCTTCGGTAGCGGAGCCCGAAGCCTTCGCCCCGGATGAGAGGGGAGCTGCGTGGCCCGAGATGCTCATCTGCTATTCTGTTTGTCTGTGGCGTGATGAAAAGCATTCTTACCAAATCCACTGGCGAGGGGGCACGTCGGAGGGGGATTGGTCTCGCTGCCGGTTGGCATGGCAGCAGAGTCGTGCTCGACGGCTCACAGACGGGACTGTTCTCAGAGAGGCATTTCTCCTCTCTGCCTTTCTCTGAAAGGAGAGGACTAAGTGTTCGCCATTCTGCGTCATGGATGTTTTATCTATTAACAATTTACAAGGAGAAACACTGTGAATATTTCACATAGTTTCCCTGTGTTGTGCAGGAAGTCAGTCCTATCTGCTGGGTGGTGTTCATAAGATGCCTCCTGAACCTTTCCCCCGGTGACTGTACGTACATTTTGCTATGCATGCCAGCGCGTTTGTGAATCTGGGAAACCGCTGTTCGACATGGTGGTTCTGAACACATGGTGATGTGTAATGATCAGGGCACGCTGCATTATTGATGAGCCATCTGTCAGGGCCACGGAGCTGTCTGACAGCAGATTTTTCAGAGAGGAAGCCTCCTCTCTCCAATGACCTCCATCGAGAAGCTAAACTATTTGATCCCCTTCCGAAAAACACTTGACGCCAGCCTGGTTTGCACGTAAATAAATGGATGTTTGAAGGTTCACGCAGTAACACTTTTCCATTTAAACTGGATAAATAGTTTTGCGAAAGCACTCTTTTAGTTTTACCTGAACCAATATGTTTGTTTGTGCAGATGACAAACTTTCTGCAGAACTTTCCAAATAAAGGGCAGCAGAGTTAGTGAATTTATCGACCCCCCCTCCCTTCAGTTTATTTAAAATCACAGAAAATCCATTTTTAGTTTCGCTCATGTCCCTCTATGTTGTCTTGTTGAAACCAGCTTGGACTGAATATGTCAAGCCTGTGCAAAATGTAAACAATGTCCTCGGAATCCAAATATCCGAATTGGCAGCGCTGGATGAGAGGTGAGCGTGTCTGGTGACGCAGATGGCAAAGTGATTAATCCCAGACTGAGAAGAGTCAGTGAAACAAGGCCGCTTACACACAGGTATCGATGATATATAAACCGAGGGCTGGATTAAATAGTTGATCTAGCACAGCCAGCAATCGTTTTAAATTTGATGATTTATAAATGACTTTTTATAAACAGGTCAAAGTGGCCTGTGGTCTCCAACCAGCAACACAGCGCAGTATAATGAGCTCGAGGTTTAATCAGAACTATATTTCACTGACAACACGTCGCATCGGTGTGACCCGCCTGTAATAACGTAGCATCAGCAGCCCCAACAGCTCAGTAGTAGAACAGCTGCTGAACTGACAACCGGCCTGAGATGTGCACAGAATACACAGGCAATATTCTGCTCTTCTTTTTATTTTAAATTCAGGCAGTAAATAAAAAACAAATCTCATTCCTCACCTCTGGGGTAGCTTAACCTTTTTTTTTTTGCCAACAAGGTTAAACCTTTATTTCCCCTGGCAGCTTTATTGATATTAACAATCTCCCATTCGAACATGGCCAACAAGCAAAACAAATACAATCAAGTCCACTGACACGCACGCAAAGGGGTCAAAGTTCGCTTCTGTCATGAATAATCAATCACCATCTCAGCGTGGGCCCAGAGCTGCTGATGTCTCCGAGACTAAAACTAACAGCTTCTGTCTCATTCACTCCACCAGGTACGACTTTGTGGAGATAGAGGACCCGACCGAGAGCGGCGTCCTGGGTCGCTGGTGCGGCTCGCAGTCGCCACCAGCTAGTCACTCGTCTAAAGGCAGTCAGATCAGGATCCGCTTCGTCTCCGACGAGTACTTCCCGTCCGAGCCGGGCTTCTGCATCCGCTACTCCCTTCTCCCCGCGGTACGTACAGCGCTAAGAGTTGGGAGGTGTGTGTTAGTTGTTGGCCTCCCAAATAGCTTGTTACTAACTCACTGTCTTAATTTCTGCTTACAGAGGTTTTACGCTTGTTGGGGAAGCATTTATTAAGCACTTCAGAACATCCGGAACCTGTGCTTGAGTTTGAATCATGCTATGATGTGCAGCTCATACACTTACACACAATGTTACTAAAGGTCCACAATCTCTGAAACGAGAGTGAATAGAGGAAAAAGGAATCCCTTCATTTAGTTTTGATGGGTCCTGAAATGGTTCTAAAACGTTAGAGGCACAACAGATCGAAATAAATGAAGTCCAAATGGTTTCATCGTCTCTAATTGTGTCATTTCCTCCGGCTGGCATTGTTTCCTCTTTTAAATGTCCTATTTGACCCTTGAGACCCGTTAACCTGCCCCTTTAGATCCAGACAGAATGAGGCGTCATCGCTTCTTCAGGTTGAGATGGAGAAAATAAGTGGCTTCACATTCTCAAATCGGTCCTTTGACCCCCCCCCCAGGGGGGGGATCCGTTCAAGCCCCTGAAATGAAAGTAGGAATTAAGAGACAGAAGTGTGTGTCGTGTGGAAAGGTTTCAAACTGCTGCTTGTTCTCTGGGCATTTTGTATTTATTACACACAGCAGGTCCAGAGAAACTATCCCCTTTCATGTGTAATTCAGTAGCTCACTTCACAAACAGATGCGATATTCACAACCGATCACATTCGAATTGCGTGCATAGAGGGAGCTTGAACTCGCCGAAGATCAGTAAAGAGCTCAATACAATAACTGCAGCAAAACAGGACATTCTTGTATTCTGTGAGAGCTAAACGTGAGTGACAAACCGAGGCGCTCTTATCAGCTGGCTCCTTTTCACGCCTCGTCACCTCCCATTGACTCCCGTCAGGCATCGGCCCGCTGATCAGATTGAATCTCCAGTTGGTTCGACTTTGTACATTCAGGGCCTCTTTAGGACGGCAAGCATCCCCCAATGGCCGCTTCACGGCTCATCTCAGTTTTTTATTTGACTATTTCTGATGCCGGCCGTTACTGAAGGACGCGACGTGGCTCAGCCGATGTACCGCTGCCGATGGGACAGAGGAGACGAGCGGCTCCTCCCAGTTTGGAGAAATCCTTGTTTTTATTCAGCGCTGCGGTGACTTGCTCAGCAAGATTGTCACCAGCTTCTCTTCATACCACAAAAACAGTACTTAACAGTACGTGTTACATGTTTTACTGATAGTCACCTCTTTGTTATTTGGTTCCTTTTTGGGAGGACGTTTTTCTCCATTTCTGTGAGCTACTCAACGTTTAACGCCAGCGATTCAGAGGTCAAGCACATTGCCAGAAACTACACTTTTAGCCGCATCCTTTCAGTTTGAACTTAATCAGTGAAACAGAACAGCTCGGGCTTCCCAGAAGTTATTTGTCAAACCTCGAGCGTATGTAAAAAAAACTTTCAGACTTGCGAGCCAGCTTTGTCTTCCTCCGTCCACTCCCCATTCCTCGTTCTCCTTTGCCGTCTCGCCTCTTTCTGTCCTGCGTCTCCGGACCACACACACACACAGAATCCTCCCCTGCATGCTGCCTTCGCTGACAAAAGCCAAGAGATAAAGCGAGGAGGCGACTGCCATGTTTTAACCGGTCATGTTTTAGTTCTGTTCACTTGCTTGAAGTAAACAGCTCTACTCCTCATTAATCCCTAATGGCCTCGCAGCGCTGGCGAGTCTGACAAGCACAAATATGGAACCGAGGTCACGGACGGCACTTTGTATTCCGTCTGATTCTTTTCTCTCTCTCCCTTCCCTCAGTACAGCTTTCTTTCTTTACCCTGAAAACGCAAAACGAGTGACCCCCTGGAATCGCACCAAGTATCTAGCTGGGTATCAGAGCTTTATTTCTCAGAAGAAAAGAAAGACGTTAAGGGGGGGAAGTAAGTGATTACGCTGTAAATCCTGCTGCAGGACTGAAAGGATTAAGTTATTTCACCTTATCTTACATTCTCCCTGCGGTGGGGCCGACCCATTTTGTTGAGTTAATGCAGATCGCTTGATCACTGAAGACCAGATGAATCTCCAGTAATGAGGATTCATGTTAGAAAAAAACTTGCAGTTTTTAACTCGTAGTAGAGCGGGATTAATCCAATGAAACTCTGCGACGAGGAGTAATATTATTCACTACATCAATATTGGTTGTGAGAGTGAATAAGTGTTCTGAGGTCCCTCTTACCCGCAAAATGGTTCAGTCTGGCTCTTCATTCATCAACGCAGCCACACGAGTTGAGTGATTCCGACCCGAGCACCGAGGGTGGACAGCAGTCAGTTCATTCATTGATGCTTTTCAGAATTATTTCAGAAGCGGTCATTGGACATTGGACCTCGCAATAACAAAACATCACATTTTAGCAACATTTAGCCTCTTTTACTGGAGGCTAGCCTGACGAGTATCACTGCCATCCCTGTATATGTTGTTATTGCATTATCTTAAATCAGTATGTTATTATATTATGTTAATCCCAAGTAAACCGAGATCCGTGAATTTCTGCAAGGATTACTTCCTAAATGATCACTGGAAGGCATAGTCTAGTTTTTAATATGGGCTCTATAGTTCTATTTTTTTTTTTTTCTTTTGGATGGTTAAATTATGTTTATTTTTTTTATTACTGTTTCTGGTACAAATGGGTTTTATCTAATTATTGTCTTTGACTAAAACTATGATTTGATTGATAAAAAAAAATACCCAGCAGGGCACACTTTAAAAGATGATTAATAAATAAATAAATTAATAAAACTACTATATTAATGATAAACTATTAATATGTACACTCCACTCTCTGATCAGTTTGGACGCCTCCGTGAAGATAAAGTGGAGCAGTTCCTCTATTAGCTTAAAAAAATAAGGTAAAGAAGTAAAACCCAACACTCAACTCTGAGTATTTCGCATTGCTGTGGTGTCTCCAATGTGACGGAATGAGAGCCGGGGTTTGTCCGTCGTATGTTAAAGGTGTGGAAGCCATGTGGTGGAAAAGGAAGCTTCCGGCCTCCAGAGCGGCTTCCCTTTGAACTTCCCTCCGGCGCGCTGGAACAGCAGCACTCTGTTTCCTCTGCGGTCAACAAGCAGCTTCTGGAGGCTCGTGCCACGCAGGGGCCGGCACTTTAGTTTATATTTAAACAAGCAATAATTCCTCCCCACCACTTCCATGGACTGGAAGGGGGAGGGTGGGGGGCAGAGAAAAATAAGACCCGGTCTGTAATTTTAGGAAGAGTGAAAAAAGGCCGAGGGCGAAGAGGTTGTTAAAACATAGGAGGGAAGGAGTCTGTTGAAGGGAGCATGAGGGGTGATGAGTGGGGGGGATAAAGGAGCAAACGAAACCTACGTCATGGTCTCTGTGAGGTCAGGAATCAAACCCCAGTGCTGCTCTACATTGCTCCTCCATTGTTGTTGTTTTAACAACAAAGAGAGTTTCAGGCAGAAAGGAGCCAAGAAATAAGGAATGAAATGCGAGTTAAAGAAGGTGAAGGTCAAAAGCCGCACAGATGGCCGACCGTTCGGCGTGACAAAGTGAGGTCTGTTTTCACACCAACCTCTATCGCAGCATAGTGAGAGAAAGTCTTCACTCACAACAGACCTGGCCGCTTATTGGAAGCTCTCGCGTGCAAGGAAGCGTTTTGCAACAGCGCGTAAAAGAAAAGATATTGTTTTGCAGATCTCTCCCGCGATGCTATTTCAGAAGGTTCATCTCAACATAGTTGGCTGAACCAGTCATTTAAGCCACCAGAAATAGGAGCCTGTGGTCGTGCAGAGTAACGACAGAGAGAGCCGGAAACAAAGTAATCGCAGTTTGAAAACTAGGTTGGGGGAGGTTGGGAACGTGTCAGTGATAAGAGGAACATTGCTTATCAAAACGCACAGGATACTTATTTTCTTTAAGGCTAACAAACTAACTGTGGCTTGTTATAATGTTTCCTATTTTAGTTTGCAAGTCCTCTCCTCTTGTTTTACTTCCTGCCCTCTACAGCTCTTCAGGTTCCCTTCTAGCATCAATTTCTGACTTTTGTTTTATGCGAAAAAATCCCAGATCTGAATTAATCAAATTGTACTCGAATACTCTTGCAATACTGACGTTAAATCTTAATACTTTGAGACATGAGTCAATTGCACTTTGCATGCAATCCATGGCAGCTACTGCTGGTCCATTTTAGTACTTTGTCTGTGAAAGTTCAAACAGGAGCTCTCACCTGCTACTTATAGCTTTCTTTACACCATCTCGATGTGTCTCTGAAGGACTGCACGGCTGCTTTCATCGGCATTCAGAAGCTGTCGATGGCTTCAGTCCACGCTGAAAGCCACCGCCAAGCCTCAACTAATAAGAACCGCAGCTTCCCTCTGTTGTCTGGAGACACACTTCTGCTGAGAGATAGACCTGTTTGATGTACTTTTACCGTGTACCGTGTGTACGGCCCTTTCTCCACTAGAATTCCTTTCATTTCCGTCTGCTTATCCAAGTAGGTGCTCTGTAGCCTGTGGTGAAGTCAAACCACTGGCATCTTATTTTTGCATCCACCCCAAACCGACTTGAGTGTATTTACATTTAGTCATGGAGAGAGTTTTGTCTGTCCTGGTTGCAGTTGATAGAAATAGAACCACTGGTCTTGGTGATCTAAAAAAAGGTCCATCTTAAATATATCTATATACCGGTGGTTGATTTAAATCAATTCTTTGGAATAAAAGTTATATTAGCCTTTAGATGGATGACTTTTTTCCATTTGGCTTCACACTGCCACGAATCAAGATACATGTTTTAGCATGAACAGCAAATAAGAACCGAATCATAAATCCTTGAGGTGATGTTGCCAAGGTTTCTGACAAAAGGAAAAAGTTTCCTCCTTTGGCCCCCATTTCTGACTGAATTCCTTCCTAATTCCGCTCTGTGTCATCAAAGGGAAGCTGCAGATTCCCGGAATGATTTCTTTTCTTTTAAAAGGCGTCTGCCTCTGTAGAAGCTCGGAGCTATGAGGCGCCGTTTGTAAAATGTTGCACGTTCTAAAATCCTGCGCAATTTTTCCACATTTTGCATTATCATATCAACAAAAAAGCACGACAACATTCACATGTCACCTCTTCAAACATTTAGAGATGAATTCATGTACATTCATGCAATAACTTTTCCAAGGATAATGTTTGGCAGTAACAAAGTTGTTAAATAATATACATTTTAAATCTAAATGTAAATCTAAATCTAAATGTTAAATCTAAATGTAAATGTTAAATGTTAAATCTAAATGTTAATGTTAAATCTAAATGCAAATATTAAATGTTATATCTAAATGTTAAATCTAAATGTAAATGTTAAATTTAAATGTAAATGTTAAATGTAGAGTCTACATTTAGCTCTACAATTTAACATTTAAGACTTGACGACTGAACATTACAATAATTACCGGTAATACACCGCCGCCGCCAGGACTAGTCGTGGCAAGTCTGGATGAATTCAGCTCTTGTCGAAAAAAGCAAGGGTGTCCAAACCTTAATTCTACGTAAGGGGGCCAAAATACTTGTCCCACGGGGAAATTCAATGG